TCAACACCACATGGAAGCTGCCAAAGTTTGGGGTTTGCACCCTCTGAAGTCACGGACCAAGCTGTACCTTGGTCCCTTTCAGCCACAGCTGGAGAGGCTGGAACACAGGGCACCAAGTCCCTAGGATGCACACAGCCAGCCCACAAAACCATTTTTTCTTCCTAGGCCTCTGGGCCTGTGATGGGAGAGGCTGCCATGAAGGTCTCTGACATACTCTGGAGATATTTTCCCCATTGTCTTGGTATTAACATCTGGCTCCTCATTACTTATGCAAATTTCTGCAGCAGGCTTGAATTTCTCCCCAGAAAATTTGGTTTTTCTTTTCTATTGCATCATCAAGCTGCAAATTTTCCAAACTTTTATGATCTGCTTCCTCTTGAACACTTTGCCACTTAGAAATTTCTTCCACCAGACACCCTAAATCATCTCTCTCAAGTTCAAATTTCCACAGATCTCTAGGGCAGGGGCAAAATGTGCCAGTCTCTTTGCTGAAACATAGCAAGAGTGACCTTTATTACAGTTTCCAAAAAGTTCCTGATCTCCATCTGAGACCACCTCAGCCTGGACTTCATTATCCATATCACTATCAGCATTTTGGTCAAAGCTGCTCAGCAAGTCTCTAGGAAGTTCCAAGCTTTCCCACATTTTCCTGTCTTCTGAGCCCTCCAAACTGTTCCCACCTCTGCCTGTTTCCCAATTCCAAAGTCACTTCCACATTTTAGGGTATCTTCATAGCAGCACCCCAGTACCAGTACCAACTTACTGTATTAGTCTGTTCTCACACTGCTAATAAGACATACCCGAGGCTGGGTAATTTATAAAGGAAAGAGGTTTAATTGACTCACAGTTCAGCATGGGTGGGGAGGCCTCAGAAAACTTACAATCATGGCAGAAGGGGAAGCAAACATGTCTTTCTTCACATGGTAGCAGCAGGGAAAAATATAAGTGAAGCAGGGAGAAGTCTCTTACAAAACCATTAGATCCTGTGAGAACTCACTCACTGTCACGAAAACAGCATGAGGGTAACCGCCCCCATGATTCACTTACTTCCCACTGGGTCCCTCCCATAACATGTGGGGATTATGGGAACTACAATTCAAGATGAGATTTGGGTGAGGCCAAACCATACCACCAGGAAAAGTAAATGGCAAATCTAGGATTCAAAGCTCAGTCTATGTGTCCATACTAAGATTTTTCTGTTCTGCTATGGTGTGCCCAGATCAGAATTAACAAAGGAAAAATATTGAAAATTCCATTCTAAATAATAAAACAATATTCTATAATATAAAATACATAATTTACTTAACTGTATTGATTTTTAGCTTGTTTCTATACTTTTATTCCTATAAATAGAACTGTATAAACATTTTCTGTATTATTTTACCTTATTTCTGATTACTTCTTTATCTGAATTCCTAGAAGCATCAAAGAATATAAATATTTTTAAAACTCTGGGTATATAATGTCAATTTATTTTCCAGTAAGTCTGTGCCATTTATACGCTCACTTAGCCCAACCAACATTAAATATATTTTCATCTTGGCTGATTTGATAACTGAAAGGTTAATTTCATAGATTAATTTGCATTTCCTTTCATTACTAATGAGATTGAAGGCTTTCTAACATATTTATTAGCTTTTTATCTTCTTTTGTAAATTTAATTGCCTATTTTCCTATATGGTGTGAGTATTTTTTTCTTGGTGATTTGTAGGAGCTCTTTCTATTGGAAAGATACTAAGACTGCCTTTTAATTCTTGCAAACAACTTTTCCCAGAGTGTATTCCACATTCAGTTTTCCAACTTTCTGTTGTAAAAATATCATAAATATAAGAGGGTATGCTCCTGCTATCTTTGCTGCATAATAAAAATCAGAGTTTAGCAGCATAAAACAATAAACATTTTATATCACAATTTTAGAAGTCAGGAATTGAGGTAGGTCTAGAAGCTTTTCTGCTCTTATGACTTACTCATCTGGCAACTGGTTGACTGAAGGGCCCAACATGGTTTTGCTCACATATTTAGTACCCTGGCAGTGATAAAAGGAAGACTGAGATTTGCTGGCATTGTCAACAGGAGTGCCTACATGTGGCTTCTCTTGCGTGGTGGTCTCTAGGTAGTCAGACTTCTCACTTGGAGACTCAGGGCTCCAAAAGACAATGTTCCAGCAATCAAGGTCAGCCTCAGGGCCTTTTGTGATTCTGCTGCAGAAGTTACATAATGCCTGCTCCACTGTGCTCAACTGGTCAGTTCATAAGCTCTCCCAGATTCAATGGGAGAGAACACAGAGGAGAATCAAAGAATCTGGCTATGTTTTAAAACCTCCATAAGGTATAACATTTTTAAGGAATAAAGCAAACTCCCCTTCACCTTTTAATTTTGTTCACAAAAATTTCACCTGCAACTGGTTTTTAAGTATTTATGTATGTTTATCTATCTTTTGGTTTCTTTCATTGCTTCATAATTCATTTTTAAAAATTATTTTTAAGCGTCTGTCTACAACCTCGAGGATATTACCAATTAATATATTTAGAACAATTACTTTTTGGTCTTAAAACACTTTAAATACTAAGTATTGTAGTTGCATTAATTTAATTTAATTCTTAATTCTTTTCATCCTTAGATTTCCATCAGTGACGTATTTGAAAATTCACTTTATAAATGCAGGTCAGACCATATATTTAATTATGCAGCTGCTGTGTGGAGAAGAAAAAACAAATCTAACTAAATAATTCTTGCTTAGTACTGTGCCAAATTTGTGGCTCATTCTTCAAAAATTAACTGAAATACAATGAGGTACAGATTGCCTGTGTAGCTAACGGTTCCCTTTAGCTCCTACAATGGTGCTTGAATATTGAATAATTTGATTAATTTCATAAACAGTAATTGTAGCACTCTTTCTCACAGTGTTATGAATAACAAAGTAAAAAAGTGTCATCACATTAACCGCAACAAAAATGTCTTTTAACTAGCAATTATTTTAAAGGACATTCTTCTGCATCATAGAGAGAAAAGAGCCTCTTTAAATAATATGTGGTAAACACTCAGTGTTAAATGACCCTTAGTCTGAGGGTCGAAAAATGGCAATTGAGGTGTCTTCAGTGTTTTTTCTCTGCTTCCACTATTGCATTTCAAAAAGCAGTTTCATCAGCTACCAAGGTGCGGGTCTGGGAAAGTTGTTCAGAGAGAGGTAAACTGAATAAGATACATGACATGTACATAACAGTGATCTTCAGCGTTTGTATTATGCTATGTATCTTCTTCTTGTTTTATTTTCACCATAACCAGAAAGAAAAAAATGATTTTTTAGAAGAAGAAGAAAAAATGAAAAAAATCTTATTGTCTAATGCAGTTCAGCAGCATGAGGGAAGGGCGGTATCTAATTTATTTCTTCAACATTGTATCTCCAACACTAAGCATTATCCTTTGCACATAGTACATACTCAATAAATATGTATTGAAGAATGATATAAAAGAGGCACAAAAATTACTTATAAGCCTCTTCCTGATATCCAGTCTGAATCTGGAGAGTTTTTTTCATGGAGGCAACTACGTTTGTGGTATATCTCCTTTCATATATGTCTGTATTTCCTGCCAGTCTTCTGCAAGAAGTCATACTACATGAGAGTGAACTGGAAAGTCAAGCTCTTGAGTCCATTTACTATCACCAAACTTTATTGCTAAAGATAATTTGAAATCCCATGGCTTTCCAGAGGCAAAGGTTCTCGAATCACCTATGGCTAAACCAAAGTTTATGTCTAAATATCCACAAGTTGAGCCAAAGTGCAAGATGCTGCTGTATCCATCCTTCGGGCCTGAACACACATTGTGTAGCCTCTGTAGGGAAAGCCACATGTCAGAGGCTGGGCCTTGTGCTTTAGGAACACTACTGCTTTTTTAGAATCATTTTGCAGATAGAAGACATTCAAGTACTTCATTTTGTGTTGAGTGCTAAATACACAGAAATTCTAGAACTATACTCTCTAATACTAGAGTCACTATCCACAGGTAGCTTAATTAACTCAAATTAATTAAAATTAAGTAAAACTAAAAATTAAGTTCCTCCATCACACTAGCCATATTTCAAGTGCTCAGTAGCTACACATGACTGGTAGCTACCATACTGAATAGTGTAAAGATGAAAAATTTTCATAATTACAGAAAGTTTTATTGGACAGTACTACTCTAGAATATACCACTTAAATCACATTTCAAACTTACTAAATTTGATATCCAATTCTGCGCTTATAACAAATGCTGGCTTTCAAACTGATGTATTTATCTGAATGACTGAAGTTGTTCCTGTTAAAATATTTGTTGAACAGCAAATGTAGATATTTCTTAAACCAGTTCCTGTGAAACACACGAAAACAAAATAAAGAGTATCTATTACCCAAAACAGAGTTAAATTTCTGAAATTCATTTTAATTGGAGACAAGTCCCATATGATTTCTAAAGAGTCTAGGTTATAGATAACTTACAAAGTTTATTCAACTAGTTAAATTGTGCCAAAAATTCAAATGAAAACATAAAAGTGTCACCATATTAAAGCCCCATCACACCTGATTTGATAAATAATCAAGAATAATTTATAACTCAAATACTGCCATATGTAAATTGATGGGAAATGTATTGTTTAAAAAGTTCATTTTTCTTAAATAAAATTAACTTTTTTCCCTGAGGTATTATTAATATTTCTTCATAAATTTGCATTCTCTATGGCAAATGCCCAAATTCTTTCCAATTATCTCCAATCTGTATTAATGGAAATTAAACTGGTGAGAACTTATCACATAATACAACCATGAAAAGCAATAAAGATATACAATTTGTTGTTTATTTGGACAAAAACTACATATAGCATATGCAGAAAAATAAACTAATAGCATTTTACGTATTTATACATTCCTATTATGCAATTTCTCGTATGATCCAGAATAATACACTTTGATAATCCACTTCTAATTGCCCTGAGTAAAAGTATCCTCTTTTTTCTACTTTAGAAGTTGCTGTGGAAGCTGAGCAGCATCTGCTGAAGAGACAGAAACCAGTCCCAGGGGTGTTACAGGAAGGCACCAGCAAGGACATTGGTCTTTGATTCAACAGTCCTGTCAAGTATAAATGTAAGTGTGAGGAGCAACAGAGGGCAGGGCAGTGGTCTGGGTGGTCCACAGGTAAAGATGCAGATCGCTGTCCAGGAGCACAAGGGCCCCTGGCAGACGCTCAGTGTCTAGCCTGCCTGCATGTCCTGTCTCCCATCCCCATTTCCATCGTTGCAAAAGCCTTGAGACCATCGCTACTATATTAGGTTTTCAAATCCCCTATAGTAAAATACATGTGCAGAGTGTGATCCTAGCTGATTTTTAAGTCTAGGCATGTTGAATACAGTCTTAAAATAATCATTTCCATAGATCTTGACTAGGTATCCAAATGTTCACCAGATGCTAGGAGTTAGATTTTGCGGAGGAAAATTGCTAACTTAAGCTTCTTTTCATGATTCAGCAGAGGGTTTTAAGTAATAAAAGATCTGGAGATTTGTAACATAAATAATTCCAGTGCAAATGGGAAAATTAAAATAATCTTATCATCTCTGTCATGTCTATATGTGTTTTTCTACCATTATCATATTTCTCTTAATTGGGCCAATTTTTTTTCTGGCTGATATTTTATAGTTTTAAGTTATGAGCTGTAATGAAGAAATGATTCTTTTCAGATGACTGAAGTGATATGTACTAAATTTTCCTAAAAACAATCTAGGATGAATGAAACAGAGCATGATATGACAGAAATGGCTTTCTTTGTATGTGGTATTGAATATACTCACAGTGAAAAATAATAATAACAGCACGCCAGAATCCCTTTTATTCCTTAATTGATCTCTCAGTAGAAGCAATAAAAATATAAAGTACCTCATTAACTTTTAAACTTTGACGGAAAAAAAAACACACACACACAACATACCATCCATTTCTGACAAGTAGACATTATCTCATAGTATCCACAGCCATCCTATGCTTATTACTATTGCCTGGTCTTAAGTGTGACTTTTGGACACACGACTCAATATTTCCTAATATATAATAGTACAATGGTTTTTATAGTCTATTTAATTTTATTTCATAATTAAAAGAATGAATTGCTAAGATTCCCCAGATTTTTCGTGTTCTTGTTGGGGCGGGGTGGATACCTGAACAAAAGGAAAAGTACAGCATTTAGCCTTATCGTTAATCCCTCATTGACTGCATCCTGTCTAGAATGAATCCATTTAGAGTTTCTAGAGAAATGCAAATACATTAATGATTTTACTAAGGCATTACATTTTTAATATAGGTACCACTAATTATTTTGACTGGATTCCATCAAAGCCAGATGTTCTCCAAATGAAATCTTTATAATGCAAACCCAGTGAATAAAAAATACATGCTCATCGAAGCAGCAGATTGTAGGACTTGTGGATAGTAGAAAAACTGGAGAAAGAGGCATGATGTGGGTAACAGTCATAATGTCAGAGTAAAGCTCTGAACTCAACCCAGAGGTACTTTATAATTGTTGCAACCAATGACAGGCTCAGCTTCTGGCTTTCTCGTAACAAAATCTTACTGCCAAGGGCATTGATGAGCTCTCCCAGTAAAAAAAGTATAATAATAATGTTAAACTAAATCATAAAAATACAGAAGGTGTTTATTAAAGGGCAGAGGAGAGAAATTGCTTGTAAAGTTCAGGTGGAAATATCAAAAATACATTTTATTGAACTTTTAAGAAATAAGCTCTTTGTTTTTAAACTAGGGTGCAAAAGCAATAAAATGTAAAGGCTATTCAATAAACTATTTCATTCAATGGTCAACAGCAATGATTCAGCAAGTAAAAATAAAAATTACATTTATTCAACATGGTCATCAATTCAGGCAGTCCTGAAGCTTACAAATTATAAGTTTTTGAGTGAAAATAACCAGCTGAAAGTATTTTTTAAATGAATTTCGATTGAAAAAATATAAAGAATTTTTTGAATGTACACCTTTTTCTCAATGAAAATGGACTTGGTTTAACTTGACATAGTATAAAACTCTTAATGTTTTATGTAGTTTATTAAGTTCTGTGGAGAAGTGTATTTGAAACAAATGTAGATAATGATCAAAAAAGTTTAAATATGAACACCATTATAGGCATACAATTAAGAAAATGGAAATAGATCATGATAACTAATCTTTTGCATGCCCTCCAAAAGCACAGAAGGTAACTTTTTAAATTATTTTTTAATAATCTGGAGTTTTCTTTCTGACCCTTTTACCCTCCAAAAATATAGATTCCTGAATCATAGAACATAGATATTTTGGTAGACAGATTCTATATTTTCCTCAAGTTAAATAACATATACCTCTAAGTGACAATAATCATAAAAACAAGCTTTTTGCTCATTAAGATACCTAATATGCCTTACACATAGTATGTACTAAATAATATGGGTTGAACTGAATTATTCCCATTTTCTCTTCAGATGTTAATGTGTCTCTTGGATTTACACTAGAGAGGTGGTGTCCCACACATGGGAATTAATGAGCTACATCTGTAACCAAAAATATCCATGGAAAACCTGTTGAATTGATCCATATCTGTTTTATTAATCAAGCCCACTACGGAAGGGCTTTCTTGTGGTTGTACTATACTTTGGAAATAAATAGAGTGGGGAAACCACAGTTCATTTTAAAAGTTGTTTGAAACTTTGAAGAACATGAGGTTTTATATTATATGACAGCAATAAACTCCAGTTTTTGATGGCTGTAATTCTGAGTATATAAGTATATAAATATTCTGTATGTATAATTTTACTGCAGAACATTATGACTGTGGCCAAGAAGACCCTTACTGTTCAATATGGAATTTACTTCTTACTGCCACTGTCTTCCTTCCTCAACTTTTTAAAATAAAAAGACTTTTAAAAATAAAAAGAAATTTTAAAACTAGCTTGGTATGAACAGCCTTTAGCTGAAGCAGATGGCTGGAAGTCAGGAGCCCCAGATTCTATCCTTCATTCTCCTACCAACTTGGAATGTGGCCTTGGGCAAGTCATGAGAGTAAATCTACAATAAAAGAGCTAATAATGCCTTACATGTGTGTGGTGTTTTATGATCTAACAGAGCACTTTCACATACAATATCTTATTTAATCTTCCCCACAGCTTCCTGAAAAGAGTATGGCAGTTATTAACAACCCGCATTATAAAGAGTAGGAATTTGAGACCCAGTAAAAGAAACTAAATCATTTTTTTGAGTCAGGAACAGTCATAGTCTAAGATTCCGGGCTGGTCTTTCTCTTTCCTCTACACCACATTGCCACCCTCTGGCACCTCCAATGGTGGCAAAGCAGGAATGACTATAGCTGCACTGTTCAATATGATAGCCACTAACCACATTCTGATATTGAGCATGTGAAATGTGGCTAGTTCCAACTGAGATGTGCTGTGAGTGTGAAATATACACCAAATTTCTAATGAAATTTGAAAAACAGAATGTAAAATGTCTCATTAATACTTTATATATTGATTGCATGTTGAAATGATGATATTTTTAATATTTTGAGTTAAATAATAGTAATAAATATAAATAAATATATTAATAAATATTACCAAATATGGTTTAATAACATTAATTCCACCTGTTTCTTTTTACGTATTAATATGGATAATAGAAAACATAAAGTTGATATGTGACTCACATTGTCCCTGTGGGACAGCACTGACCAGAGAATTCCATTGTTCAGAGCCCACATGCTAATTTCACAGTACTGGACTTGTTTATGTGCCTGGCTTGATGTGGCTGACACAATTCCCTGAGATGCTGTCAAACAGACGCAAGGTAGATTAGCAGCAATGATCTGGGCATTCTTGCACAGCTTCCACATACAGGAAAAAAGTCTGGTTTCATTAGTTGCTGCCCCAAATTGCTCATTCATCAAAAGGGTCCATTTTATACCTGTTGAATCCTTGAGAGACTTAGAAGTAAAAGTGCTATGGCAAGAACTATAAATTACATTTATGGCTCTATAGCACTCTTTATTTTCAAATACGTTCCCATTAAACATTATGAATGAATGAGACATTAAACTGTTAGGCTGATATGTACTATGTAAAATAATAATTATATATAACTTTGTTGTACAGTATGTTTTATTCTACCTACAAAGTCTTTAAGATATTTTACATACAATCCCTAAATAAATAGCTTATACCTGTTATGGAACAATCTAACTGAAAGTCCTCAGGAAAAATAAGTTCTTATTTAGAAGAAAAAATATGTATAGTAAAAAATAGCACAGATCACTAAAATCTAGCATCCATTTGGCAGTTATTATGTGGGCTCAAGTACCATGCTAAGAGTTACACCAAGGTTCTCTCACTTCATCTTTACAGGGCTTTGAAAATCAGCAAGAGGGAGCAGAACCAAAGGTCTTAACCACTACTGCTTCTTATTTCAAAGCAATTTAAAATCATAACTCCACCTATCATGACAGTATAAGAATATTTGGAATTGATTTGATTTGATTCATTTAAACTCCACGAGCATCTACCTAGCAAATACAATGGACCAGGAACAGTTCTAGACACTGAGGGAATATTGAGCAATAAAACCAGAGCTCTACCCTCAAAGAGAACACTGATTGGTAGGTTTATGAACATGCTTTTGAAAAATGCATACTTATGACGAAATAAAAGGGGAGTCACTACTCATGTTCTAAAGGGCTTCTTTATGTTCCAATAGAAATCTTTATAGTGCTATTCCTCAGTTTGTTAAAATTTACCTATTGTTCATAAAGCAAAGGTCTTATGTAAAAAAAAATTAAAAAATAAAAAACTAAAAAACTATGTAGTTTGAATTTCAGAGGTTTGCTTTCCTCCATTATACTCACTTGGAAGAAGAGGTGCTGAAATTACCTTAAATGTTTTCTAGAACAAGGAGAGATGAAAGCAAATAAACAAAATGAACCTAAGTCAAAATGACTCTTAAAAAATCACAAAATAATGAAAACTAAAGAGTTTTATAACCTTTTATACAATAATAATAAGTTATCTTTGAAGATAGAGATTTAACTCATTATGCATATGAGTTAACTATTAATTTTTTAAAGA